GTGTGTCGTGCCGTGGTCGTCGTCTCCGTCGGGGCGGACGACGCCATCACTGGCCGCGCTCGCGGGTTGCCCCACACTCCCGTGTTGTGATGTTGAGGGTGCAGGTTGAATCGGAGTGCCAGGTGCTTGGGATTGTGCTCTCATGAGGTCATTTTGCAGTAATGAGCGTTCTGCCGTCAATGCCGCGATTTCCTCGGAGCTTTCGTGCAGTTGTCGCAGCAGATCGTTCAAACGCTCCTGCGTGAGAGTGGTGACGTCGATGTTTTCGGCCATGACGAAGGGCGTCGGCTCGTCTTAGTCTAGGCGCAGTCGTGGCTGCACGCGTTTACGAGAGAACGCGAGGACAGCGGCTCCTAGGGGCTAAGGTGCGTGAGTCCCTTCCAGTGAAAAATCAAAAGTTGATTTCCTGGTGTGCGGAGATGCGCGGTCCGAAAGAAAGGGGCTCTGATACCAAGTGTTACGGGTGCAATGAATCGAGGTAGCGAGAATTGCACTAAGGTGTCAAACGAGTACAAAATGTGAGCGAAGGCATGAGCGAGCATTTATACGCGAAACATGCAAAACGGTAACGCGGTGCGTGCGAACTTGCTAGTGCTACGCTGGAGCGAGGCTCGGGCTAGTCCCGAAGCGTAGGCCGATACGGCCATGCCAGCAGTGCGAGGTTTGGCAAAACAGTGCGCGCGAAGTCGGCGAAGTTCCGTTAGCAGTAACGGGCGAACAGTCGGCTGTTGCTGTACGCGATGTAGTCGGCTCCGTAAGGAATGCCTGAGAAAATTCCTTACATACATTCCCTTATTACAACTCAAATAAAAACCGTGCGGCGCGGGAACCCGTTCAAAACCTGTTCCCGCTCTTTTCACTGTAAATGTTTCTGCCTGCATCGGTCTTAGTCTGACGGTTGCTGCGTCGCTTCGGCTCTTCTGACTCCTCAACTTCGTACACGGTAGAGTCGGCTCCTGCAGCATACAGGAATGCCTTCTCATAAAACTTCACATCGTAACAACCGCCTTTCTTAAGGGGGGGGGGTGGTGTAAGGAATTTTCCCGAATTCCTTATCGGGGTTGACTGCTTCGCGTACAACCCGATTTTCGGAGTTCGCACGTTCGGCCGATTTCAACGCTGCCAAGGCTCCTCGCGTCGCCTTCGGCATTTCCATCGCCAAACCTGCACCCAACCTCGCTCGTCCGAGGTTTCCTCCTAGCTAGGCTAGCCCTACATTAGTCAGTGCATTCATTCTCAGTTGATTCAGTCACAGTCTCGTTATTCGTTTACCTGCGCACTCTCTTTTACAACTCATAACAACCTATGGGTTTAGTGTTGCTTCGTACACGAACACAGCCACTCGCAAATAGCATAACTACCGACAACTGCCACGTCACCTTATTGTGCCAAGTGTCATAAAAACACTGGAGTCGACATTGCCTTTTCCCGAGCATGCTTGAATCGAACAGCAACCAGGAAGCCAGTCTCGTGCAGGTCACAGGTTCCTCCTCCAGATACCCCCCATTTCCCCCACCCCGTCCGTCCCCTACAACCACCCCACAACCCTTCCCTCTGGTACGTGCGCACCCCTAGCCCAGCCTAGCCATTCAGCTGTGCGTGCCAGGCGCAGTAATCCCGTAACCTCAGAAGAGTCCTTGCGTGACTCTGGAGAGTGTCGCCCAACGTTGCGTGAGCGGCGTGAACGGAGGGTCGGCGGTCTTGAAGCAGAGTGACTAGAATCGCAATTACAGCAACCTTGCGTGAACAGCAATTACACAAGTTTACTCTGCTCCTTTTTTTAGGAGCTGCTGAAAATTGTGTGGTGGAGCGGGTAAAATCTTGTTGACGCAGCTAGCCAATTCTTTCTTATCAAAGTTCCGTTGAACAATGGCAACTATCTCGCTTCGTCTCGCTCCATTCAGTGGCGTCGTCAGGGAAGCATCGACGTTAGTCAGTTCAGCAATCGCTCCATCACGTCTAGGTCGACAGGTGAGGCTTAGCTCGTGGATCACGTCATTTCCAGTCGTATTGTCTTCTTCAACTTGTTTAGCTTATGACGGGAAGCGTTTCTACCATGCAGTTTCGTGCTGCACCCCTAGCCAGAAACGCGGAGAGTATCGGGGAGCAGAGGTACTCCAGAAGAGAACCTACAGGTACGCTGGCATGAAACTCTCGCAAAATTTTCATCATGTCAGGTAGCCGGAGCAATTGAGCATCCTTGCTATTGTGTACTGCAGCAGCTGCTCTTGCTTCACAAGGCGATGTCTCTACCGAGGGTTTGGAGCTGACTGAGGAAAACGTCGAGAAGGTTCTTGACGAGGTTCGACCGTACTTGATGGCGGACGGCGGCAATGTGGAATTGTACGACATTGACGGTCTCGTCGTGAAGCTGCGGCTTCAGGGTGCGTGTGGCTCGTGCCCGAGTTCCACGATGACCATGAAGATGGGGATCGAACGGAGGTTGATGGAGAAGATTCCAGAGATAGTCTCTGTCGAGCAGATCACGGACCAGGAGACGGGCCTTCCACTGGACGAGGAGAATGTAGAAAAGGTGAGAGTCTTTCTGTGGTTAATGCATCGTGTTTTACCTGATTATGATGTGTTTTTTGTTCAGAGATGTGTACTGATAGTTTCCTTTTTGCTTTCAGGTGCTGTCCGAGATCAGGCCATATTTGGTAGGAACGGGTGGTGGGGAGCTGACTCTTGTGAAGATTGATCCTCCGATTGTGAAGGTCAGGATCGATGGGCCCGCAGCAGGAGTAATGACGGTCAGAGTGGCTGTTACCCAGAAGCTCAGGGAGAAAATTCCATCGATTGCTGCTGTACAGTTGCTTTGAGTGGCTTTGTGTTCAACTATGATCAGAAAAAAGGTTACCTTTGGAGATAGGTAGACGTGAAATGCTGTCACTAGTGTGATTCTCATGCAATGTTTGAGCGCTCTGATGATTTTTCAGACTCTGCTGACTCATACTGAGATGATATGGTGTAGCATGGCTCTCTTCGATAATGAAGGATCATTATTCCGGCAAAGTAAGGGGGGATCTGGCTGATCACGAGTGTGAGACATGATCTGTTTTAGCCAGCCAAACTGCCTTGTCTCCTCCATGACAGTGGTTGCCTGTTATTTATTATGTACTAAAATAATCTACCAGCTGGAGATCCTAGATAAAACCAAAATAATATTTATTATGAAGCTTTAGAGCATGGTAACAAGCATACTGTGCATGGAAGATGTGCAGCAAAGCCTGGATGACATCTAAGTGGGAACCTCTTAATATAAAATAGAAAGAAATAAGGAATCGCAACTAGGCGTTGAGTATTGACAGATTGTTTTTTTCCTAGACACAGGTTATGCTTGGCGACAGAGGAGTGGTGACGCTTGTTCGGTCAAATCCTCTGCACCAGCCGTATGTGGTCGCCGCAGTAGTATCTTATGCTCCTACTTGCTGCTGAAGTTGCTGCGTCGGCGGCTGAACCTGCTGTCCATAGTTCAGTGGCCGACGGAAAAGCATGATGTGAGGTTCGGGCCGATGAATAGCGTAGTGAACCCATCCTCTAGATTGCTGCACGCCAATGCTCCTCCATTCAGCCTGCAGACAGTCAACACCAGCAACAAAAAAACTGTCAGGTTGGAACTCTGACCATGCATGCCATATTCTCAGTCCGAACACCAATGACAACAATTACCTCGGACAGCAGCCTGTTCTTCGGAAGTAACTTCGCCACATCAGGAGGGAGAACTACATGCCTGCAAGAGGCACCCGACAAAACGAAACGTTCAGTTTCAGGGCCATGGACTACTAGTTCGGCTGCTGTCCTGCACTCGGATGGATGACAAGCGGTAACAAGTTGGATACCTGTACTCGTAGACGTCGTCGAAATATTTCTCAGAATACTGGATCTGCGGCATGATGACAATAGCCCTATCGACCAGCTAGGGTAAGAAACCGCAGAGAAGCTAAGACAGCAGAATGGAGCAGCGACTTCAAATGATAACACTAAATTCTGCGAAGATATGTGTAAATCGACTAGTAGGTGACTTGAGAAGCAGAGATGGTAGAATCTAGGAAACCAGATGCAGGTGCCTCAAATGGGTTGGATGGGATGGTCGCGGGGAAGAATTGATGGGCTTGCCTGCGAAGCGAGTCCGTCGCAAGACCTTGATGGTCATCGCATCGCAAGGCTCAATCAAGGCTTCCCTCCACTGGTCAGATTGTCGCCAGGGATGCACAGAGTTTTTCGAATATGTGCGACCGGAACTGCTTTTCGCGAAACGCAGGTCGACGGCGACCCCGAGGTTTCAAAAGTCGTCAGACAGTCGCCAGCAGCGACTCAAAGTGGACGTGCGACCGAACCCATTCGATCAGGAAAAGCAGGCTGTTCGACCTGTCAGTGCGGGATTCCTCGTCGCGCTGACAGAACTTGGCGCCACCATTGGCCACTGAGCCATGTGCTCTATTGCGATTCTGACATACGCGGCAAGATATCTGGGACATATACACCGAGAAGCAGCAATCCTGCTATGGACTTCGGACCTCTTATCCACATGAGGTAATCAAGTACACACCAAGAATAACTGTATATGTTATTCTTGATTTATATTTCTAGAACGAATCATCACGTCGTACAATGTGGGATGATAAGATATATTGCTATCTGATATGTGAATTATTCTGTTTACACATTCTTGTACGGCACCTAAAAATTTCCCAGCACCACAGAGGAGCACAAATTTCGAGTGAATTGTAGCGGGGATAGCAACATGCATTTATATTCCTCACACACTTCAAACATGTTACACTGTCCGACCAGCAAATGGCTGTCCCGCTTCTCATCTAAAGAGAGGCTCAACCCTAAAGCTCGACATATTTTCTGGTGTCTTCGTTCCCGTCAGTCCCGCTAGTACTTGCCCCCCTTCAGTCGTGTCTTCATAACTCTAGTACGTATGATCTGACTAGTCGTCCTTTTGATAACTAATCCCCTTTCCCTACGTCGACGGCGCTGAAAATCGAGGCGCCATGTCGATGTCCAAGGGATCTAAGCTGCTACAGTACATCAACTACCGCATGCGCGTGACCGTCACCGATGGCCGCGAGCTCGTCGGGAAATTCATGGCCTACGATCGCCACATGAACCTCGTCCTTGGGGACTGCGAGGAGTTCCGCAAGCTGCCACCCAAAAAGGGCTCCAAGGCGCCGGAGGACCGCGAGGAGCGCCGGACATTAGGGCTACTTATTCTCCGCGGGGAGGAGGTAGTTAGTCTTACCGTCGAAGGCCCGCCGCCGCAGGATGAGAACCGTGGTAGAGCCGCCGGCGCAGCGGCAGGGGGACCCGGTGTTGGGCGCGCGGCAGGGCGCGGAGTTCCGACGGTTCCGCTCGGTCAAGCGCAGCCCGGCTTGGCGGGGCCCGCGCGTGGAGTGGGGGGACCGGCGCCGTCGTTGATGCAGCCGCGCCCGCAAGTTGCGGCTCCGCCGATCTCGTACCAGGCTCCTGGAGGCGCGGCTGGCGCTGCTCCTGGCCGTCCGCCTCCCGTCTCGTTCCCCCCGCCCGCGGGTTTCCCTGGGGGAGCTCCGCCGCGGCCGGGGATGCCCCCCCCGCCAGGCGGAATGCGCCCGCCCGGGATGGGCCCTCCCCCGTCCATGTACCCCCAGGGTCCCCCGCGCCCGGGCATGCCTCCCCCGCCCGCCGGTTACGGTCCCCCTGGCGGTCCGCCTCCGCAATTCCCCCCGCGCGGCCCTCCGCCAGGCGGTGCGCCGCCGATGCAGTACGGGCGGGGAATGCCCCCGCCGGGGGGAATGCCTCCGCCAGGGATGATGGGTCCGCCCAGGCCGGGGATGCCCCCTCCGCCAGGGGGGCATCCGGGGATGTATGGCCCCCCGCGCCCAGGCATGCCCCCCCCGCCTGGGGGGCAATGAAGACGGGGAGGGGAGTGACTGTGGCAGATGTGACTGATGCGGATGTGATTGTTGCATATGCAGATCTGAACAGCCACAGGATGGTGATTTGGTTGTGCTAGGGGGGAAGGGGGGGTGGGGCAGAGGGGTTGCGTTTGTTGGATGGCTGGTATGTATGGTTTGGTACCACTCCACTCTGCTTCTTGCAGCTTGTGGAAACCAGCAGCTTTTGTGGGGCTAAGAGGACGGCAGGGCAGGTGCAATGATGGCATTTCCAGTAAGGTTTTTGTTTAATACAGCTTTGGCCGATGGCCCTACTAAGGTTGGTTGTTATTGAGGTTTGTACTGACAAATTGTCTTCTTAGGCTTGTGAATTGATTCATTTTCCTTCAAATGGTTTGCAGATACCACCAGACTCAACCAGTAGTGCCTGAAATAATATACCCATTAGATCTTCATGCATAATCCTGCACGTGTTCTTACCTTCCAAATGGTGGACACCCATGGCAGGAAGGAAACATGGAGCAAAACATGCGTACCGTACGGTATATTTAAAAATCTTGTACAGAACCTTGATACCGTATGAGTGACAGTTTCTTACCTTACCGTGTTTTCCTAACAGCGTACGCACGTCCACCTCCTCTTTCACCGTCGCGCCGCGCTCTTACTCCCCATTATACCTTGGCGCATCAGGCGAACCTGTCCTGGTCCCTGCTCCGTCTCGAGTAGACAAGCCATTAGCTTCGGTAAGGCTCGGTTTCCGTGGTATGATAGACGTCCACTCACGGAAAAACGGAATCATACAGGGAAACATTTTCCTGTATCGTATTGTCTTTCCGTTCATTCGAAATCTCTCTAAAACGAGCTAGAGTTTGCAGTATTCCCTTGTGCGGGTGGGCCGAAAGCGTCAGAATGCCAGGCAGCTACCAGGCAACCTCATTACCGACTCCCTTTGCTCGCAGCGTTACATGAGGGTTGAGCCGATTTTTTAGTCTGACTCGAAAAAGAGAAGCGCCATACGAGAGCTTGACTCTCTTTTACAGGAGTTTGAGGTAGAATTCGATTGTTTGAAAGCCTCGCCAGGGTGTTGACGAGAGCCCTGCATTTCCATGGGGCTGTGCCTCTCACGCTCTTTCCTCCTCCTTCCCCTTCTCCTCTCCCCCCAGCAGCATGGCATCTGCGGCAGCACGCAGTACAGTCACGGAAGTGGAGCTGATTCCAGAGTTTCTCGCCACGGGCGTGCTTCCCACCCTTCCACCCCCTCCCTTCCACCCCCTCCCTTCCACCCCCTCCTTTCCAACCCCTCCCTTCCACCCCCTCCCTTCCACCCCCTCCCTTCCACCCCCTCCCTTCCACCCCCTCCCTTCCACCCCCTCCCTTCCACCCCCTCCTTTCCAACCCCTCCCTTCCACCCCCTCCCTTCCAACCCCTCCCTTCCACCCCCTCCCTTCCACGCCCTCACGCCAGCAGGGCAAATGGTGGCACGTAGCACAGATACGCTGCCTCAATCCTGCCCTCGATCCTCCCTGTTCCCCTCCCCTTCTACCCATCTATCAGCAGCGGAAGCATGGCATCGGGTGCACGGCACAGCAGCACAGAGGTAGAGCTCACTCCCGAGGTTCTCGCCACGGGCGTGCTTCCCACGCTGCCTCGCCTTGATCCCGCCGTTGCCAGAGCGCTTGACCGAGTGCAAGGTATCCTAAGATTTCTCGAAAGATCATCATTTACATCATCCTCCCCTCTCTTCCGATTCCTCTCTGAATTCTGCTCCCCTGTCCCCTTCTTCCTTTTTCCCCTCCCCCCCGTCCTTCTCTCTTGACCATCTTAGCCTCCCCACGTCCAGATGCGTTCCTCGATGCTTCCCCACCACCCACCCTTTTTTGCTTACACTCCCGTCTTCCCGTTTCCTTCCCTTGGGGGGTTTTTGTAGTGGTACAGCGTTATTATTCCTTCATTCCCTTTCATTTCCATCCATTCCCTCCCGTTCCCTATCATTCCCTCTCGTTCCCTGTCACTCCCTCTGATTCCCTTCCCTCTCATTCCCACTCAGTCCCTCTCGTTCCCTTTCCTCTCATTCCCTCTCATTCCCTTCCATTCACTCCCATTTTCTCTCATTCCCCACCCCATAATCCTTTCCTCCCTCACCTTCCAATTCCTCTCGTCCCCTCTCCCCAGAGAATTTCGGCAGCAAGGAGCAGTGGCAGGCGGCATCGAGTCGAGTGAAGGCGGACGAGCCGCCTCTCCTGATGTTGCCTCATGTCCCCCTTCCCCCTCTCTCCCCCCTCCAGAGCAACTCGGCAGCAAGGAGCAGTGGCAGGCGGCATCGAGTCGAGTGAAGGCGGAGGTGCCGCTTCTCTCTTGTGAAATACTTTCCACTCCTTTTTGTCCACACTCTCCTTTGCCTCCCCCTTCCGGACTCCAGAGAAATTCGGAACAAAGGAGCAGCTGGAGGCAGCATTAAGCAGAGTGAAGGTGGAGGAGCCACCTCTCTTAGTGGAACAAAGGAGCAGCTGGAGACGGCGTTAGGCAGAGTGAAGGTGGAGGAGCCACCTCTCTTTGTGAAATGTTCTCCATTCCTTTTCGCCCACACCCCCCTTTGCCTCCCTCATACACTCTTCAGAGAAATTCGGTACAAAAGAACAGTTCGAGGCTGCATTGAGTCGAGTGAAGGTGGAGGAGCCACCTCTCTTTGTGAAGCAGCTGTTCCGCATACGAGGGGACCTCGATGTTCCTCTGGACGACCCTGATATTGCACGCTACCTTACCAAGCTCTCATAGTGGTACAGTAGTAAGTGTACAGAGCTGAACAAGCATCACCAGCGCTAATAATTTAGTTGTGAAGAATGCGAAGGACTGGAGGAACAAGGCGAAAGGAGGTTGTTATGGTCGAGTGGGGAGGTGTGATATGGTATGCTAGAAAGGCATAGTGCCGTCGTAGCGGAAGCTTGATTGTAGAAAGTAGCAAGAGAGACTTTGCAACTGAAAGGACTCAGAACAATGGAATGCTTATGAAATGACAGAGCAGGCTGTTTATCTGAGCAGCTAACCCCCTCAGGATGGTTCTATCCACACCAACAATGCCACACCAATAATTCTACCCGCCAATAATTCTTACCCTCCAATAATTCTAGACTCCAACAATTCTGACCCTCCAATAATTGTATTATTATTGGAGGGCTGAGAGTCTTATAAAGGAACACTACAGTAAAACCTAACAGCATAAGTATCATCTTATGTTTGTATATTTAACACTCCCCCTTGCTGTAGGTTTTACTGAGGCGTGACTGAATGGAGGATACGTTGGAATTGACGGTTGAATTTGTGGTAACGGCGTTGATTGCGGCGGTGATTTAGGTGGTGGCGGTGATCACGGCAGTGACTGCTGATTGATCCACCCTGCTAGGGTTTCGAACGTTCCGTTGAGAAAGTGTCGGCGGGAACCATACGGCTGCACGATCCAAGCTCAGTAGGCGCACGTCTCGCTTCTCAGGTGATTCCAGCAGTGCTACGCCCTGGGTCGCAATTCTCCCCGCAATCTCTCGGTTCTCGCTCAGCAGGGGTCTTCCAGACTAGTCATTCAGGCTCATTCTCGACAGATTGTCTCAGGGTTTCTCAGCACCTCCTCCCGTTCAATTTCTTGTTCATCGTTTCCTGCCGCTGCTGCTGATGAGACTATGCCCGATTTTTTTTTGCTATCGCGCGACTGCTGTTTTAGTCGCGACGAATTTGCTGCGCCATGGCGCGATGTCCTTCAGCTGCGCGCATCACTAGCGCTCGCCATGTCATGGCTGGTGCTCGGTGACAGCAGCGCACGTGACGACCTGCAGCGCCGGATGCGCGTTTCCTGAGGCTGCGGCCAGATCCGCGACTGCTGCTTCGGTCGCGCGGCTGTCGTGACCTCCTCGCTTGACAACCTGCGCGTTGCAGCTCCTTGCGCGCGACTGCTGTTCATGGCGCCCGTGGCGATCGGCAGCAGCGACTGGCGCACGACTGCAGCAGCATGCGCGCCGCTGCATTACCTCGCATGTGGCGGCTTCTGCTGGTGCGCGCCCTCCCCTTGCCATTTCGGGCGACCTTGTGCTCGTGTGGCAGCATCTGCACTGCGACACTTGGCTCTTGGCAGGTGCGGGGCCTTCTCACACCAGCAGCTTCCGACGCCGCACCGCTGCAGCTGCGTGCCTACTCTGTCGTGACGAGGTAAGTTGCCCTTCTCCGTGTAACTACCACTGCTTGCACCTTGACCTCACTCATGTGTGTTTCTTGCAATTGATGTACTGCAGCACTGGCCGTGCTAAGTCGCTTGTTACTGCTCCCACATTCTCTTGTGATTTTCCTTGCCCCCGCCCATACCAGCTAGCGAGCGTGAGCGGCTGCAGCCGGCATCGGCACCTGGCACTCTGGCCCATACGTCTGCAGCTCCTGGTAGCGCATGGCTGCTGCTCCTGGCGGCCCACTGCTGCTACTTCTGGCGGCGCACGGCTTTCTCCTACCGACCGAGGTGAGAATGCTTAGTTGAATCTGTCAGTTTCACTCATGTTACCCTGTTACTCTGTGCTGCTTCCCATGACTCTGTGCTGCTCCTCGTGACCCTGTGCTGCTCCTCATGACCCTGTGCTTCTCCCCCTATACTAGGTGACCCCCGGAGGCAGCTGCAACTTGTACGCAAGCACCTGGCGGCTGCATCTGCTCCTGGCGGCTGCTTCTGCTCCTGGCGGCTGCTTCTGCTCCTGGCGGCTGCATCTGCTCCTGGCGGCTGCTTCTGCTCCTGGCGGTTGCTTCTGCTCCTGGCGGCCGCTTCTGCACCTGGCGCCTGCGTCTGCAAACGTCTGCCAGCGGCACCCCGTGACTGGTGGCAGCAGCATCACCTGGTCGCTTGCACTGGTGCAGCTCCAGCACTGGGTGGCAGCAGTATCAGCAGCACCTGCGTCACCTTGGTGAGCAGCACCAGCAGTGCCTGTCTCCAGTTGTCTCCCCCTTCCTCTCCTCTCATTGGAGTCATGCTTTTGTATTTAGTAGGAGTCGGCTTCCTCTTGTAATTCCCTCCGTCTGCTAGCCTCATGTTGACTCATGCTGATGTTTTGTCTCCCCCTGAAACCAGCACGCATATGAAGTCTTCAGGAACGGCCGCTGCAGATGGCGAGTGGTTGTGACCAACCGGCAGCAGCGACTGTCCAGCAGAATATCTGATGGTTGCTGGTGTTGCTGATTGCAGTAGGTCTTCTCATGATGATATGCGGACGCTTGTGATGAAAATGAAAAGATACTCCCAAGATGAAGTCCTGATTTGTTGCACCCCAAGATGCTCCACACCCCACTCCCCCTCTCACTCGAGTGTTTGTAGGCATGCACATGCGTGAGCACGCACATATCACCAAACACATGAGTGAGATGTGTGGAGTTACGTGATGCCGTGTTGTTCAGCTCCCCTTGAGAAGCCCGGACTTGAGAGTGCAGCTCCAGCAGCATCAATGTGAGTACTGGGTGCAGACGGTGCAACATGAGGAATAGGTTGGAGACCGCACAAGAGGCGGCATGTGAGATGTTGCTTTGCTGTGAGGGGCTTGGTGAGATAATCTGCAGCCTGCTGAGCTGTCGGGCAGTACTCCGGCCGCACAACTCCATCACGAACCGCCTTCCGCGTCCAATGGTAACGGACGTCCATGTGCTTGATGCGTTGACTCATCTGCTCCCCAGTTGCAAGTGCAATCGCGCTTTGATTATCCACAAAGATGACAGTAGGTTCTTGCTGTCGAAAAGCGAGGTCTTCACACAAGCGGCGAAGGTACGTGGCTTCCCTTGCCCCTTCAAACAGTGCAATGTATTCTGCTTCAGCTGTTGATGTCGCAATGACCGTTTGTCGTTTAGTCCTCCAACTAACAGCAGCTCCTCCCAAGGTAAACACGTATCCTCCAACTGAGTGACGCCCTTCTTCGTTCGCATAATCCGAGTCCGTGTATCCGCGGAGCACCAAGTCTCCTCCATAGACCAGTCCCATGTCTGCAGTATTCTGTAAGTAGTTGAACACCCTGTGGATTCCAAGCACTGTTGCTGCTGTTGGTTTGCTTGCTTGCGTGGCTAGCACATGCGTCGCATAGGTTATGTCTGGCCGCTCTGCTGTTGAGATGTACAGCAATGTCCCGACTTGTTTCAGCACCAATTGACCATCAATTTCGTCCGGTGGTTCTCCTTGTGGTCCAAGTTCCTTGGCGATTGGTGTTCGTACTCCAGAACGGCTGCCCTCCATCCCAAATGCCGCCAAAGCCTGTGAGATGTACTTTGTGAGTGCGAGTGCGATCGAGTCATTGTCCGTGGCGACATTGAGCCCCAAAAACTGCGTCATGGACTTGCTGACCGTTAGGGTAAAGTTCTGCTTCAAGTGTTGAATCACAGCTTCAATGCCTTCTGCGTCATGGGACTGGATGAGGATGTCGTCAACGTAGGTGAGTAGCCACACCGTATCTTTGCCGTCTCTTGTCCAGATAAACAAAGATGGGTCTGATTCGGATTGCACCATGTCCAGCTCCAGCAACACACCCCGTAAGTGTTGATGCCACAAGCGCGGTGCTTGCTTCAGCCCATATACACTTCTTTTGAGTTTCCAGACTTTGTCTCCGTCCCTCCTTGGTTCTGGTGGTCTCACGTATATGTCTCGGTCGATCGGGGCGTATAGGAATGCATTGGAGATGTCCAGTTGCACCACCTTCCGCTTTGTGGCAGATGCACCAGCAATAAACATGTGAGAGGTAGGTCCTTGGCTGACCGGTGCATACGTCCCATCGTATGTGTGAACCGGTTTGGCTGTCCGTGTTCATCTCGTTTCACCCGCAAAACGACTCCTTCCGTCAGCACCGGTGTTCCTTTCGGTACGTCCGCTCTGTCTACCACTTCGTATGCATCCAGCTCATCGAACTTGGCCAATTCTGCATCCACAGCGGCTTGCCAAAAAGGTGCGTACGGGTCTTTTGTCATGTCTTGAAGTGTTTTTGGCTCTGTGTATGTCAGCTCCACCATGGGGACGCCGGTTGCTGCACATCCCAGTACGTTCTGCTGCTGCACGTTGGGAAATCGGGTGAATGTTTGTCCTGCCTGCCGCCTCCCTAACAGTACGTCCAGTCCTGTCATGTTGTCTGTCCCTTGTCCTTCTCCTCCATGTACTATCACTGTTGGGTTGAAGTGAACCCGCCTTGGTGGCACGTCAGGAGCAGCCAGCGGGATCCCATCGGGCGGGTAGGCATAGTTGTATAGATGACCTTCGTTTTCTGGTTCGTTGTTGTCAGCATTTTCACAAACAGAGATGCCTGCCGCTGGTAAGTCACTTTCCGCTGTCTCTTCTCCTGTATCGGCTTCAGTAGATGCCGGTGGGTCTTCTTGAGTTGCGTCATTGGTCGTAGGTTCATGTTGTTCTGCTGTAGCGACGTCAGAAGATGTGGAGGAAGTGAGAGATGCAGGAAAAGAGTCAAATGCTAACCCAACGTCTTCTCCCCCTGAAGTCCACTCCGAGATGTGAGGTGAGACTTCATCTATGTACCGTTGGCGTTCGAGCAGAGACTCGGCGTCCGGGAGCATGAGGTCGTCAAAGAAGCGAGCTGAGCGTGTGTCCGTGTCAACGTCGCTTGCCAAGTCCCGTACGATCCATGCTTTTCGTGAGTTAGAGAGGCTGAGAAACATGCCTGCCCGTCCTCGTTGTTCAAATTTCCCAAAGCTGCCTTGGGGAGGGAGATAATAGCAGAGGCATCCGAAGGTTCTGGCCATGGAGACATCTGCTGCCTTTCCCATCATCATGAAGTACGGTGAGTGTGCGGATGGGTTGCTGCTGCAGCTGATGCGGTTGTGTAACCATGCCGCATATTCCAGTGCATAAGGCCAGAACTTGGAGGAAAGGCTGGCCCCGGTAGTCATTGCTCGCACTCGGTCCATGAGTGTGCGGTTAACTCGTTCGGCGACTCCATTCTGCTGCGGCGTGTGTGGTAAGGACGTTTGGTGATTGATACTGTGAGAACTCAGGTAATCTGTGAATTCGTTTGATGTATATTCCCCCCCGTTGTCCGTGCGCAAGGCAGCCAGCGGCATCTTGGGCAGCTTGGTCTTCATCTCACGGTGCCAAGCCGAGAAAACTGCAGTCATGCCGGACCGGCGAGCCAACGGCGCCACCCACAGGTAGTTGGTGTAGTCGTCCTTGAGCGTCAGCACATAGCGAAGGGAAGGGTGAGCATCACCCAGGTCCATGATATCGCTGTGCACGAGCTCCAAAGGTCGTGTTGTGGCATTGGTGCTTCCTGTGGGAAAGGGGGCTTTGCTCATCTTCCCTCGAAGACATGAGTCACATGGGGGTTTGAGAGGGTTAGTCTTGTCGGATATGGTGAGCCCTTCAACATCACCATTTCGAAATGTTGCATCCATGGATGTGTATGATGGGTGACCCAAGCGCTTGTGGGCCATGCGGTATGTGATGGATGCATGCGCTGAAAGTGGATTCGGCTCTTTATGACCATGATCATGCGATGCGTCTTCTTCAAGGGAATGGTCAGATCCATGGGCAGGTGCAAGTGCAGGCTTATATTGCACCATGAGCACACCATGCATGATCATTCCAACCCCAATGACCACATGCTCATCTTCAGCCGCCATAGTAATCTCCGTGCGTCCGTCATCACGAGTGCGAATGCGAGCTCCTTCCGTGTGCAGCTGGCAATAGGAGAGCAGGTTGGACCTCAAGCCAGGTACGTAGAGCACATCCGTGTAGCGCACTATTGTTCCATCGGGTGTCGTTGCTCGGATTGTTCCCGTCATTGAGCTCAACAAGTGGCTCCCGTCTGCAAGCTCCACGTAAACAGGTTCGTCCAGCTCCTCTAGACCCTCAAACCACTCTTTTTCTGAAGTCATGTGTTGGCTGCATCCGCTGTCCAGCAACCACAGCGACCCTCCGGCTGTTGGTAACATTGCTTGTGAGGACCGAACCGTTGCAACGCATGTAACGGTGCGTTTGTTATCTCCCCCGGCTGCCCCTTGCTGTTTTGACGTTTGGTTGTCACGTTTGGGACTTTCACTCCTTCGAGGCGAGGACGAACGGCTATTCCAGGTGCGTTGGTTTGTCCTCCCTTTGTTTTGTGGTTCCCACCCTGGTGTTGACCAACCCGGGGGTGCCTTAGAACATCTGTAGAACGGGTGGCCAGATTCCTTGCAGTACCAACACACAAGGTTGGAGCGCCCTCCCCTTCCGTCGTTGGCCTTGGGTTTCTCCTCAACCGCACTCTGGTTGCCCTTTGTCTCGGTCCTCTCCTTTGCTGGTGAAGTATCTCCACGTGCTTGGCCAGCCATGCGCGGAGGACGCTTGTCACGGTTGGTCTTGCTAATGAGGTATTGGTAGCGTTGTTCCTAAATCATCATTCGCTGTAGTGTGTAGCTGTCCGAGATGTCGTGTAGCATTGTCGAATGTCTCAGCTCCTCCCAATGCGGCGGCAGCCCGGTAATCAGATTTAAAGTGAACGAATCTTCATCCACCATCTTTCCCGCCATTGCCAGCTTGTCTCGAATTGCAGTTGCTCGGTTGATGTATTCCTCCACTCTTTCTTGGCTCCCCGTCTTCAGGTTGTCCAATTGCCTCTGGAGAGACGCCTTTGCCACCGAATCCTTCGCCTGGTAAGTCTCCATCAGGTACTCCCATGCTTCGAATGCCGGACTGTATGACTCTTGAAACACGTCCAGTTGCAGCTCAATCGTTGCGCTCACGCTATGTAGCAGTACCCAAAAAGCCAGCGTAGCTCGTTGTGAGTAATTTGCTTGCAGAACTTCCAGCCGTTCCATTGCATCTCGCATGTCTCCATTCGTCATTGTAACCGGGTATTGTAGTGTCACGAAAAACTCCCACAGATTTGTCACGAGCGCGTTCATGCGGAATCGAAGAGCCCATTCTCGAAAGTTAGTGCCGTCGAACGGGGTTGTTGTGAACGCCTTGTCCACCGTTGCTCCCACCATCTTGCGTGACAGCCTGTCTTTGTCTTCTTCGGTATACTCGCGAGGTGACGGGTCGAAGAGTGTAGGCACGGTAGATGGTCGAGGTAGTTGCACTGTGCGTTGTGTGCCTTCACGTTCCACCACCTCCACTTGGTCACGTCGCATAACTCCACTTGATTGCATCCCGTGCCCCATGCGTCCGATGCTTCCTACAGGTACTGCTTCCGGTTGAGACCATTGCGCACGAGGGGGTGCGATGTTACCATAGAGGTGAGATCTGCCCATTATGGGAACTCCAATGGGATGGGAGTTGGTGGCAAGTCGGCGTAGTGGGGGAGCACCAATAGTGTAGGATTCGAATCCCACACCTTCCATGCCCACATGACTGCTTCTACCGCTCCCTTCACCAATCTGACCTCTCGTGTTTCTTCCCACATCAATCCCATCATGTTCTCTCACATCCCTTCCACTCCCGTACTCATCATCCCTCCCCGTTGCTTCCCTTTGCATGGTTGGTTGAGGTTCGGGGTGGGAGCCCCCCTCTTCTTGGAAGGATGCATCCCTCCCTTGGGACGACTCTCCTCCTTGGGGTAGGCTTCCTTCCCCTTCACCTTCAATTCCTGCATCCACATTTGAAGTGCGGGTTTGGTTAGCACGCGGAGTGCTTGCATGTGACTGTCCATGGATGGATGGGTTGTTGGAATCTCGAACTTGGATTGCCATGTTTAATCTTGCTCTCAATGATGCTTGGAGTGTCGGTGGTGCCCTTGCGATCATGTTTTCCAGGTGCTCATGTTGAGCCAAGATTGCTTCTTCGAACGCCTCGTATCCAGCATCAACTTCCTCATCGAACCGTGCCATGACTTCACACCAAATGTTGCCACTTGCTGTGCAAGGTTGCTAATCTGCTTAACCAACGAAGATAATAAGCGTCCTGACGAAATTTCGGCAGCATGCCCCCTAGAGTTGCTCTGATACCATGCTAGAAAGGCATAGTGCCGTCGTAGCGGAAGCTTGATTGTAGAAAGTAGCAAGAGAGACTTTGCAACTGAAAGGACTCAGAACAATGGAATGCTTATGAAATGACAGAGCAGGCTGTTTATCTGAGCAGCTAACCCCCTCAGGATGGTTCTATCCACACCAACAATGCCACACCAATAATTCTACCCGCCAATAATTCTTACCATCCAATAATTCTAGACTCCAATAATTCTGACCCTCCAATAATTGTATAATTATTGGAGGGCTGAGAGTCTTATAAAGGAACACTACAGTAAAACCTAACAGCATAAGTATCATCTTATGTTTGTATATTTAACATGGTATTGGGTGGGAGATGAGATTGGGAACTGGTAGGCTAGTCTCGCATAAAAAGGGGAGTTGGTTTCATGTTTATCATGGTGGTTCACGACTAGAAGAGATGAGTCTTTCTCACCTACATGCATAAGCACATACTGTAGTCTGTTCACATTCTGAAATTCCCAGTATTTCATGTTATCTCTAGGATATGAATTGTTTCGCTGCCATCACTCTCTTGGCGACAAGTCGCGAAAGACGCCTCGCCGTCCTTTTCGCAAATGTGGTGTTACGTGGGAGATTTTGGCGGGAACGGTTCCAGAGAAACTGAGCGGTTGAACACGGTGCCATGCCACTGACAAGCCCAAGGTCTCCTCTTGACAGAACCCTATCCGCTTGCCTCTCTTGTGAATCGTGATTGTTCACTTTTTTGTCTAGTGACTGATAGCTTGGTAGACGATTAGGAGTCAGATACCTAATAAGTAGCAGACGAGGTGAACGGTCTCAGTTGTTTTGTTTTCTCCTCCTTTCACAATGGCAGTCGAATCATCTATCCAGCGGTTACCCGAAGATGTTCTTTCTCGGATCCTTTTTTTCCTGGTTCGACCTGATGGCAAGCTGGGGCACGCACTTGTCTCCAAGCAATGGCATCGCCTCGCTTACCGCGTGCAATACGAGCTTCACTTTGCCAGTAACCTTCGTATGGATCCGCGTCGGCTCGTTCAGCTTCTGTCGCTGTTCACGAACCTCAGAAAGCTCATTCTATCCTCAAACAGCCTCACCTCCGCCTCTAGCTTGTTCTTCTCTCGCCTCGCCAGCACGTGTCCGCATCTGACACAGCTTTGTGTCGAACCGATGCCACGTGGATCTCTATCTGAGAAGAGCCTCCTTACGCTGTTCGAGGGGTGTACGCAGCTGCAAGATCTCGATCTATATTGTTCGAGCTTGGTTCCAATTCCCCTGTCCATCAACCGACTCGCAAGGCTCAGGAACTTAACCCTCAGAGGCGGCTTTACGCGTCTTCCCGACACTTTTACCTCGTTACGGTCTCTCAGAAGCCTCGTGCTGAACGCTTATAGGCTCGAAGCTTTGCCTCGGGATTTCGGCAATCTGAGCTCGTTAACGTCTCTGCAGCTGCACAATTGCCGCGTGGGGTCTCTTCCGGAATCTTTCGGGCAGCTTACCGCTCTGAACCGATTTTCCTTAAGTCACTGCTCGACGTTGCATCTGCCGGCTTCTTTTACCAAGCTTTCTTCTCTCGCCGTCCTGGAGGTTCGACATTGCAGGATCCCTCCTACATCGCGGGTTGATTTCAGTAAATTGGGGGTTCTCGACTCCGTCATTCTTGTTGAAGTCACGGGAATGCGCAGCTTAATTGGGGCCCTGGAGCATTTGCAGCGAGTGAAGATCCTGATCATCAAGGAGTGTAGTGATATCACGACTCTGCCCGTGTCTCTTCCCCGCGTGCCTGCACTCACCGAACTCAACCTCGACATGGGACGACTTTCAGTGCTGCCCGAAGATCTCGGGCAGCTGTCAGTGCTTCGAACGCTCGTGCTGAACCTGAGGAGTCTCACAGCCTTACCTGATTCCATCGCTCTGGTTACCACACTGAAAGAGCTCTCCCTCACTGATCTACTGAATCTGACACATCTGCCCCAAGAGTTCGGGCAGCTGGTTTCTTTGGAGAAGCTGTGCCTGAAGCGCCTTCCGCAGCTCACACATCTGCCCGAATCCTTCGGACAGCTGGCAGCTCTTCGGGAGGTGAAGTTTTTGGAGTGTGGAAATCTGCAGCAGCTCCCGGACTCCCTATCGCAGCTATCTTCTCTCGAGCACCTCGAGTTGGAATATTCGCCGCGCCTCACGGTGTTGCCAGACGACATGGGAAAGGGTCTGCACTCCTTGCGCCATTTATTTCTACTGGACTGCACCGCTCTCACCCACCTCCCTCCATCCTTCTCTGGTCTGACGTCTCTCGAAACCCTCCGGATCCGATGCGCGAAACGCTTCAGGGGGGCGCTGCTAGACGGCTTTGGGAGTTTGAAGAGCCTCAAGGAGCTGTCGCTCGGCTCTATGCCGCGCCTATCCTCCCTTCCTGCCTCCTTCTCGGGTGTTTCTTCCCTCACCACCCTGGAAGTGGGGAATTGCCCTAAAGTAACGGTCCTGCCTGAGGGAATCGGACGGCTGGAGAAGCTGGAGGAGGTCAGGATCTTTGGGATGGACGGCCTGATTTGTCTCCCTCCGTCGCTTCTTGACCTGCCTTGTCTGCGGGCGCTGGACGTGCGGGGATGTGATGGGTTAAGTGCGGTGCTAGGCGATGAGAAAGTGCTTAGACGTACTGCTAGGGGTTTTGTGACCAGCACCGGCAGCACCAGCCGCAGCAGCAGTCGCCCTCTGCTTCCTTCCATTCAGAGCCTGAAGTTAAAGGAGCTTAATGTTGAGTCCTTTGGCCCGTCACTTGGTCGTCTATCCTCTCTGACCCAGCTGAAGCTTCTGGAAATGGACAGGCTTGAGTCTCTCCCTGATTCCATCTCTCAACTCTCGCATCTGCAAAGGCTTAAGGTTGATTCTGCTTCTATTCTGAAAGCACTGCCCGAAACCCTTGGAGGGCTGGCAGGGCTGCGTGTCTTGCAGCTGGTTTACCTCACGACAATGCGGCAGCTGCCCGAGTCTCTCGGGCAGCTGAAAAAGCTCGAGACACTGGAGATTATCGATTGCTTCAAGCTGATGCAGCTTCCGGATTCGTTTGTGAATTTATCCAAGCTGCGATCCTGCTCTTTTATCAAGCTCGGAGTCTCAATCATCCCTGATGACATCTGGAAGCTGTCTTCCCTCCAGAAGTTGCTGATTCTGGGATTGAAGCAGTTGCAAAGCTTGCCAGATTCGTTCACCCAGCTGCCTAAGCTTGAGGAGCTGGAGGTGTGTGCGTGCAAGAAGCTGACTCGGTTGCCCTCTTTTCTTAGGAAAATGCCGTCGCTGCGGGAGTGCCGCATCAGTGAATGCCCTTTGCTGCCCAGGCGAGACATGAGAGGAGTTTTTGTAAGGAGAGTAGAGGAGGGAGAGGAGGGGGAGGGGGAGGAAGGGGATGCGGAAGAGGATGAGGGGGAGGAGGGAGGCGATGTGGCTGGTGAAAGGGAAGAGGCAGGCGGGGAGTCATCAGAGGAAGAGGAGAGTGGCGGTGAGGATGAGGAGAGTGGTGGGGAGGATGACGAGAGTGGTGGTGAAGATAGTGATATTGAGCATGAGTATGCGTTGGACAGTGATTATGAGATGGGTGATGGCGGAGGCTGGGGGGAGGAGAGTGAATGATGACTAGAAGGATGAATCAAATGGCGAAGTTGGTGTGGCAGGTTGGAAGTTGGGAATTGGGAAGAGGAGAGTGGTGGTGAGGATGAGGAGAGTGGTGGTGAAGATGAGGATATTGAGCATGAGTATGCCTTGGACAGTGATTATGAGACGGGTGATGGCGGACGCTGGGGGGAGAGTGATGACGAAGACTAGTACAGTAGTAGGATGAATTAATGGGTGAAATTGGTGTGGCAGGTTGGACGTTGGGGGTCCGGAGAGCATTTATTGAAAAAGCCTATGATTCTACATGGGGAGGATTGATGTGTTTAGATGAGGTATGGTTGTGCTTTGTGCCAGCTGAATGCACTCAGTAATGTGCAGCATATTTTGCTATGAATTGCACTGTTGAGTCACAGGAGGGGACCATCTTCCCTTACTGATAGATAGGGTCTCTCATAAATAACAAAGCATTTTTCCATAAGCAACAGGCGAGATAATGATATTGTGCCAGGCAGAAAGATTGGTTGGGCATCCTTATAATGGTAACAACTAAAATGTCGCCACCTGATTGGCTTATGTATCAATATCCACCACCATTTTCCATCGTTGGTCTTGATATAAGCAGAGAAGCAGCCTCGGCATCTCTCACCTCACTCACACTCCCAGGCACCCCCACACACACCCCTCTCGACACACTCTCAACCACACCCCCCACCGCCGCCCATGCCCCTGCTGCTGCTCCTCCCACTCCTGCTACCCCTGCTACAGAAGACCCTACACCCCCTCCTGCCTCTCCGCCCACTCCTCTCCCACCTCCTTTCCCTCTTGCCCCTTGTCTTTGCTTTCCCTTGGCCCTGTCTCCACCCTTAGGAGGTGGGGCAGAAAAGCCGCTCTCTAGAAGAACGCTGCTGTCTGCATCTCCCTGCCCAGCCTGCCCTTCGCTATAAGCACCCGCAGCAGGAGCAGCAGCAGCAGCAGCAGCAGCAGCAGAACTCATTGACGCGACTATTTTGGATGCCCAATTGCTGGTAGAATATTGAGATGCCTCCGAAGCAGTAGCAGCAGAGGGAGAGGGACCAAGAGAATAGGAAGCAGAAGAAACCGCAGCAATGCCCGAAACACCAGCACCAGGAGCAGCAGCACCAAAAGCACCATCGCCAGCACCATCAGCACCAGCATAACCAGCAGCAGCGTCTGCATGACCCTCCATGGTCCCAACCTGCCCCAGTGGCACATCCCCCAGATTCGGGTCCAGGGGCTCTAGCACCTGAGGATCCACGTCCAGGGGCTCAAACACCTGAGGATCCACCTGAAGGTGCTGCTCATAGGCCTGCCGTATCTCATGCATCGTGGGCCGGGCGGCAGCGTCGTCCTGTACGCCCGCATGGCGACATGCCGAAATCAGGAAATGCAAACATGGGGATATGCAGATGTGGGGTAATGAATTACGGGGACCAGTGGCAGCAGCATGGCTAAGAGAAGAGACAGGCCGATTGACCGAGGATGTAGTGTTATTGAGGCATCAAACGGATATGCCGCGCAGAAAATCTCACCAGTTCACATGCGCGTGCCAGAGACGCTAGAACCTCCAGTTGCGGGCAGTCAAAATGCCCTCCCAGTGAGGGGGGAAGAGGAAGACGGTGTGTGGAGGCATCTAGAGACATATCCAAAACAAGTGATCTCACCAGTACACATGCGCGTGCCAGCGACGCTAGAACCTCCAGTTGCGGGCGGTCAAAATGCCCTCCCAACTGGGCGTCTGCCATTAGAGGCATCATCTGTGGATCGTCCAGGAATGGTGCCGACTGCATAAGGGCAGGGGAAGAGAGCAAGGAAAGCAAGTAGAGGAGGGAGAGCAAGGGGAGGTATGAGCGGCATCACCTGCAAGTATGCACTGCCAGTTGGACATGTGCAATAGAACGCATCATCTGAGGATCGATTGCAGTGTATGCTTTTTGAGAAATCTCAAAAAACATACGCAGCATCATCTGCAGGTATGCACTGCCAGTTGGACATGTGCAATAGAATGCATCATCTGAGGATCGAATTTTGAGACGTCTTGAATATCATGAGGCAACCGCTCCATTGCAAGCTGACCCACTACAAAACTAAAGAACACTCACCGTAGCAACGATGTGTGCTGTGCCATCTGTGCCCAGTTATAAGCTCCGGCAGCAGCATTCTATAGGCCAATCCCACCTTTACAAGCCGACTCAAAACGAATTACTTGTAAAAGCACACTCACTGTAACAACAGACTGTGTTGTGCTGTCTGCAGTCTGCCCCGTTATAGGCTCCAGCAGCAGCATCCCATAGGCCAACAATGTCATTAGAAGCTCAATCAATGCAGCACTCACTGAAGCAACGATCTGTGTTGTCCCATCTGCAGTCTGCCCCGTTATAAGTTCCAGCAGCAGCACCCCATAGGAAAGCTGCTCCTTTAAAGGCCGACCCAACACAAACTCAGAAACACTCACTGTAGCGACGATCTGTGTTGTGCCATCTGCAGTCTGCCCCGTTATAAGCTCCAGCAGCAGCACCCCATAGGCCAGCACGTCTGCAGTCGTAGCCACTCCAAGGGACGACTGCAACGGACGAAACCCCGAAGCATCAGAACTGCCTCGGGCCGAACCTAGGTCCGACAGCTGTTGGGGAAGGAGCCGGCGGGGAAGAGGGTGGGAAATGGGGGATGAAGGGGGAGGGGGATGGGGGCATGGTGGGGGGGGGTGGGGAAAGAGGGGTGGTGAAGGGAGTGACAGGCGTTGGGGGTGGGGAAAGAGGGGTGGTGAAGGGAGTGACAGGCGTTGGGGGTGGGGAACGTCTGTTTACCATTCTTCACTAGCCACTGCTGCTAAAAACTGAAGTAAATAGCAGCAGTGGCTAGTGCATCTTAACTTAACCCCTGATGTTATGATGCAGTAAGACTGCCTCGAGCCTGACCATGCCCCACTAGCTGCTCTGCTGAGATGTTCCTTAAAATAATATAATTAAGTAGTAGAAAAAAAAAAAGAAGCAAACAAACAGAGTGACAGGCGAGCAGTACTTTGGCGGTCATGTCTTCTGTTAGAAGCACATTTGATGACGTCACAGCGCGGTGCACAAAGGGCGGCGTGTGATTGTAGTGAAGGTGATACAACGCAGCAGCCACGTCCACTGCTACTTGCACTCTCTCCTGCCACGTCAGTGCGTCCAGGTCACCTCCTGACAGGATTCCGGGCAGAGAGAGAAAAAAAGAGAAGGCGGGAAATGAGAAGTGTGGATCTTGCGGGTGTGAATTAGCCGCATTGTCATAGCCAAGAGCAAGAACTATACACCATCACCATTATGACACAAAAAAATAGAATAAATTGAAGTGCACAAAGCAATCACGGATCATGCGTTGGCGCAGTGTGCCCCCTGTAACCAGCTCCAGCACCACGGCTGGTGCTGCCGCTGTTGCTGCTGCTACTGGCAAGAGCAGCAATACCTTCGGACAGAAGGGTTGTTAACCAAGCACTCACGGATCATGCGCTGCCGTAGCGTGCCCCCTGTAACCAGCTCGAGCACCACCTACACGCAGGGGAGAGGATGGTCGTGCTCGAGCTGGTTACAGGAGACTCGCGCTTGATGTGATGGTGATGTGAAAAGGGCATTCACGGATCATGCGTTGGCGCAGCGTGCCCCCCGTGACCATCTCGAGCACCACCATCCTCTCCCCTGTGACCCTGCGCATATGGCACTACCTTTCGACATGAGATATGTTCAAGTGAAAAGGGCACTCACGGATCATGCGTTGGCGCAGCGTGCCTCCTGTGACTAGCTCGAGCACCACCATCCTCTCCCCGCCATTCGCACAGAACCCCCTCACGTGCACCATGCACGGGTGGCTGTTGCTCGCTGCTGCTAGCAGTGCTACCTTCTGACAGAAGGCAGATTCCGAGAAGCCTGTGGGAAAGGTGCAGTGATGTTGCAGTGAGGGGATGGAAGGCATTAGCACAGAACCCCATCACGTGCACCATGCACGGATGGCTGTTGCTCGCTGCTGCTAGCAGTGCTACCTTCTGACAGAAGGCAGATTCCGAGAAGCCTGCAGGGAGGTGCAGTGGGGGGCGGAGAAGGCGCATGGAAGGAGCACGGATGATACCAATGGGAGTGGGGAGGAGGGAAAGAGAATGTTAAGGGGAAGGTGATGGTAAGGTAAAGAAAGTGGCTAAGAAAGTGGGATGCAAGGGAAACAGGTCAGGGCAGCAGAATGGGGGAGCATGAAGGCAAAATGGAACGGATTTAATAACAAAGAATGGGCATACACAGGCAGATATACAGGGCAAAAATCACTCACTGTCAGGGTCGCGAGCTCGCTTCACAAGCCCATGCCTCTCTGGGTTGGGAATAGCAGGCGGCATGGCATGGAAATTCGCCTGCATGTACCCATGCCCATGCCCATGTGCTGCTCCGTGCCCCTTCCATCCCTCCTTTTTTAGTCTACTAGAGTAACCACTCACTGTCAGGGTCGCGATCTCGCTTCACAAGCCCGTGCCTCTCTGGGTTGGGAATAGCAAGCGGCATGGCATGGAAATTCGCCTGCATGTACCCATGCCCATGCCCATGCCCATGTGCTGCTCCCTGCCCCTTTCCTCCCTCCTTTTTCAGTCTACTAGAGTAACCACTCACTGTCAGGGTCGCGAGCTCGCTTCACAAGCCCATGCCTCTCTGGGTTGGGAATAGCAGGCGGCATGGCATGGAAATTCGCCTGCATGTACCCATGCCCATGCCCATGCCCATGTGCTGCTCCCTGCCCCTTTCCTCCCTCCTTTTTTAGTCTACTAGAGTAACCACTCACTGTCAGGGTCGCGAGCTCGTTTCAACAACCCGTGTCTCTCTGGGTTGGGGATAGCAGGCGGCATGGTATGGGAATTCGCCTGCATGTACCCATGCCCATGAGCTGCACCGCCATGCCCCCTTCTGCCTTCTGCTCCTGCACTGGCCTCTGGAAAGAGGTCATACGCGATATAAGCAGTCCCGAAGCTCCCTCTACCGTGCTCCGTGGAAAAGCCTCTCGTTGCGGCGCGGAGGCGTGACACTGAGAACTCAGGTAGATGGGCTGATTGGGGGGAGATGGGAGGGGAGAAGGTGTGGAAAGGGGGGGAGGAGGGGGGGAAGGGAGAGGGACGGTGGGGAAGAGGAGGAGGAGGAGGAGGAGGAGGAGGAGGAGGAGGAGGAGGAGGAGGAGGAGGAGGAGGAGGAGGAGGAGGAGGAGGAGGAGGAGGAGGAGGAGGAGGAGGAGGAGTGGGGCCGGGGGAGAAGTGATACACGTTTGCAAGTCATCCCTCTGATTGCAGCACAGAGGTCATACGCGATATAAGCAGTCCCAAAGCTCCCTCTACCGTGCTCCGTGGAAAAGCCTCTGGTTGCGGCACGAAGCCGTGACACAGAGAACTCAGGCAGATGGGCTGAATTTTGGTAAGAAGGGCGGGAAGAGGAGGAGAGGGGACGGGAGGAAAGTTTTGCATGCTTGCAAGTCAGCCCTGGCAGGTGCGAAGAGGGAGAAGAGGGATAAGAGACAGAAGAGAGAGAAGAGAGGGAAGAGAGGGAAGAGAGGGAAGAAAGGGAAGAGAGGGAAGAGAGGGAAGAGAGGGAAGAGAGGGAAGAGAGGGAAGAGAGGGAAGAGAGGGAAGAGAGGGAAGAGAGGGAAGAGAGGGAAGAGAGGGAAGAGAGGGAAGAGAGAGAAGAGAGGGAAGAAAGAGAAGAGAGGGAAGAGAGGGAAGAGAGGGAAGAGAGGGAAGAGAGGGAAGAGAGGGAAGAGAGGGAAGAGAGGGAAGAGAGGGAAGAGAGGGAAGAGAGGGAAGAGAGGGAAGAGAGGGAAGAGAGGGAAGAGAGAGAAGAGAGGGAAGAGAGGGAAGAGAGAGAAGAGAGGACCATGGGCAGCAACATGCAAGCATCAACTTGGGCATACACATACACCCATACACGACCTACGCACCAACTTGGGCATCTGGTCCACTCACTCATCTGCTTCTTCTTGCTGGCTTTAACTTTGATGTGATGAACAGTGCCGAAGAGGCCAAAGAGCACAACACAGACGACTGTGATGATTAGCAGTGCCAGCAGGACGTACGCCAGTGGTGGGATGGACGCTGGTGGGTGGGAAAGCAAAGGAAAGAGACGAGAGATGGATCAAAGGGATGGAGACAAGGACAACGCTGACGACTGTGATGATTAGCAGTGCCAGCAGGATGTATGCCAGAGGTGGTATGGACGCTGGTGGGCGGAGGGTGGAAGAAAGAGAAGGAGACAAATTTAAGAGGAAAAAGAGGACAACACAGACCACTGTGATGATGAGCAGCACTAGGAGCACGTACGCTAGTGGTGGTATGGACGCTGATGGTGGAAGGGAGGGAAGAGGAGTGGAGGATCAAAGAGATGTAGAAGAGTGGAACACAGGAAACTGGCACATAAGGGATGGCAACATGAAGGTACATACAGGCACAGGTGCTTTTACATGCATGGCGAACGTACACATGCTGCTGCTGCTGCTGCTGCTGCTGCTGCTGGGAGCAGAGGTAGGAGGCGCATAAGGGGTGGCAGCATGATGGTACAGATGCTTTGACATGCATGGCGTACGTACACGTGCTGCTGCTGCCGTCGCTGCTACTGTTGCTGCTGGGAGCAGAGGTAGCAGGCACATAAGGGGTGGCATGGAGGCCTGCAGCGCATGCCTGCTCAGGTGCGTCGTCCAAACAGTTGTGGTCGTAGCTGGAAGGTGGGAAGAGGGAGAGAGGAGAAGGTTGCTTGGCTGGTGTAGTGATCAGTTGTTGCTGAAGGGGTGGCATGCAGGCCTGCAGCGCATGCCTGCTCAGGTGCTTCGTCGAGACAATTGTGGTTGTAGCTGGGGGGGGGAGAGGGGAAGGAGAGAGGGAAAGAGAAGGGGGAGAATATTTGCCTTTATAGCTGGGTGGCATGGAGGCCTGCAACGCATGCCTGCTCAGGCGCGCTGTCCAAACATTTGTGGTCGTAGCTGGGGGGTGGGAGGGGGGAGGAGAAGGTTGTTTATAGTGACTGGGTGGCAGCATGAAGGCCTGCAGTGCATGCCATGCCTGCTCAGGCGCGCTGTCCCAAGTCTAGACTCCAGAGAGTTGTGGTGATACCATTGTCATACATGGTGACGGTGACTGGGAAGGGAGGGGGACAATTAGTCAGTGTGCCATCTTTGTAGGTAAAGAAAAAAAGGGGGGTCAGTGTGACAGTGGTCAGTGTGACAGTGGTCAGTGTGACAGTGGTCAGTGTGTCATTCATGGTAGCCCATAAGGGAAGGAGGTGTGGACGAGACGAGCTGTAGCCTGGTAAGTCAGAAGAAGAGGTGTACATGCATTGCATTGTAGCCTGTAGAATGAGGATCGGTGAACTTGAGGCACAATGAGAGAAGAACAATATATCCTTAGTAGGAAGATGGTACAAGCCTGAAAGGCTAGAGCAATGTCCTTTCCAAGGATGAGTTCTAGAGAAGTGGGAAGCCACATCTATGTGGCTGAACTCTTGAGGCTAGCTGCAGCACCTCAAAGCTGAGGGCAGGGCTAGCCAACCTTGCCAAGCTAGCAATTGAGGCCACATGTTGCACATGTGGGCCAGGCTGGAACAACAGCCTACATGGCAGCATGTGGCACACCATAGGAGCCAACAAGGTGAGTATGGGATGGGTGGACAGATGGCAATGCCAACTGTGACCACACTTCACTGTGGGTGAGTGTGGTGGAGTGTGGGAGTGTCATGTTCGGCATAATGAGAAGAGAAGGTGCTGCCGATGAGAGTTGAACCCGCGACCACTAAGACCAAAGGTACCCACTGGGACATTCTTGCTTCCACAACACCCCCCCTCAAGGATGTCCCCGGGGTAGGGTGCCTCAAGAGGAAACATGGGTGAGACCGAGAAGACCACGGATGCGAAGAAAAGGGTCACGGGGCAAAGGCTTGGTCCCAATGTCAGCGAGGTTGTCTTGAGTAGGAACATAGTGAAGGGTGATGGAGTGGTCGGCAACATGATCGCGAATGAAATGGTGCTTGATGTCGATGTGCGTGGCCTTGGGATGAAAGACGCCATCGTCCTTGGCGAGAATGATGGCACTGTTGTTGTCACACGAGATACGGGTGGGGCCGGTAGGGGGAAGTCCAACTGCAGTAAGGAGCGAACGAAGCCATAATGCCTCGTGCACCGCGGCGCCCAGAGAGTAATATTCAGCTTCACATGAAGAGGTAGCAACGACGGCTTGGCGTTTGGACTGCCAAGAGATGAGTGACGGACCGAGGAAGAACAAGTAGCACGTAACGGAGCGACGCAGCTCCCCCTCCGGTCCCCAAGAGGCGTCACACCAGCCATGAAGTTCGAGGGTGTCGGGAATGCCACCAAGGAGAAGCCCAAGGGAGGTAGTCCCTTTCAAGTAGCGAGCAATGCGTTTGGCAGCCGAGACGTGAGGAGTAGACCAATCGTGAAGGTGACGAGCAAGAACTCCAGCGCTATATGCGAGGTCGGGACGGGTCCCCACCATGGCATACATGATGGAGCCGACAAACGAGGTGTAAGGGAAGGAGGAGGAGTGCGGGGAGGAAGTCACGGGTGGCTGAAACTTTGTGTCCATGGGAGTGGCAGCGGGGTTCAGTGGAGAGAAGGAGTAGGTGTCTAGAATGGAGGTGATGAATTTGGATTGATGAAGGTGGAGAGTGCGGGAAGTTCGATCACGAGTGATGTGAAAGCCAAGGTAGTAGGAGAGAGGTCCGAGGTCACGAAGTTTGAAGCGAGATGAAAGGGCATGCTTGAATGAGGCAAGAAGAGAGGAGGAGGAGGAGAGAATGATGAGGTCGTCAACATAGACGAGAAGCATGAAGAAGGATGCAGCTGTAGGCCGATAAGGTGAGTGAGGAGGAGCAATGAAGAGGCCGGGGTCCGCACGAGCAGCAAAGAGGTGAAAGGCAGCAAGCTCCTCACGAAGCTTGCGGTACCAGCATCGCGGAGCTTGCTTCAACCCGTACAGCGGTTTGTGCAAGAGACAAACTTGCTCAACACCATGGACCGCCGGAAGGTCATAACCGGGAGGCTGCATCATGTAGAGAATCTCATCAAGGGTGCCGTTGAGGAAGGCGTTGGAGATGTCCAGCTGATGGACGTCCAGGTTGAAAGCGGCAGCTATGGTGAGAAACAAGCGGAGGGTGGCGAAGCGGACGGTAGGAGCAAAGGTGTCATGAAAATCAACACCATCACGTTGCTTGAAGCCTTTGACAACAAGGCGGGCCTTGCGGCGTTCAATAGAACCATCAGCGTTCTCCTTGACCTTGAAAATCCATTTGCATGGAATCGGCTTGCACTTGGGTGGTCGAGGAACAATGCTGTAGGTGTCATTAGCGTGCAGAGCAGCGAGTTCCGCATCAGCAGCCTTGATCCATTCGGCAGCATCAGGGCCGGTACGAGCCTCATGAATGGTTTGAGGTTCGTAATGATGGTGAAGGGCAGCATTGGCAGAGGTGTTGGAAAGAGGAGGAAGAGTGAAGTCAATGGGTTCGGAAGGGGATGGTAAGACCTTGAGGAAGGAGAAAAGGGAAGGATCGGGAAGAGCTGAAGGGGATGGCGGGGAGGAGCGAGTCGTGCAATGGGGAGGGGGAGGCGAAGAGGGAGGAGAGAAGGATGGAAGGTGAAAGTCTTGCGGCGTCGAGGGCAGAGGAAGGTTGGAAAACAATGGAGGAGGAGAAGATGTGGCTGGTGCGGGCAGGTTTGGGGATTGTGGGTGGGGGTTGGTGGAGGAAGGTATGGTGGGGGAAGGAGAGGGAGGGGAGATTGGGTCCAAGGAAGAAGGGTGTGTAGGAGGAGGTAGTGAGGAGGATGTGGGTGGAGATGACGATGGAGGGTCGCGAGAGTCGTCGGAAGGCGGTGCAGAGGGCTCCATGAAGATGACATCACGAGAAAGGATGACACCGTGCTGAGATGGGATATAGATGCGGTAAGCTTTGGTGCCGTCGAGATGACCATATCCAACCATGATGCCGGCCGTGCTTCGGTCGTCGAGCTTAGAACGCCGTTGGGAAGGAATGAGGACCGAGACGGGTGAACCGAAGATGCGGAGGTGTGATACATCCGGACGTGCACCGGTCCATAGTTCCATGGGAGTCTTAGAAGTTGAACCACCCCGACTAATGGCATGATTACGAAGATAGGCAGCAGTAAGAGCGGCTTCACCCCACCAGCCTTTGTCCATGTGTGCATCATGGAGCATGGAACGGACCATCTCAAGTAAAGTCCGGTTGGCCCGCTCAGCTACTCCATTTTGCTCAGGTGTGTATGGCGTGGAGAGGTGGCGGGCGATGCCATGAGCTGTAAGGAATGAAGTGAAGGCTTTGGAAGTGAACTCCAAGGCACCGTCAGAGCGAAAGGTTTTGATGGTGTGTGGGGAATGCATGTTGTGCACCCGAGTGACGTAAGCCTTGAAGCATGAAAGTGCCTCCGACCGGTGGCGAAGGAGATACACTGTAATGTGGCGGGAGTAGTCGTCGATGAAGGTGAGAAGGTAGCGAGCGCCGCCAATGGTAGTTCCATATGAAAGCGGTCCAGCAATATCTGAGTGAATGAGTTGGAGTGGGGCTGTGGTGCGAGAATGGGACACGCCAAATGGCTGACGTGTTTGTTTCCCACGATAGCACGAGATGCAGGGGGGAATCGAGGTGGAGGAGAGGTGAAGACCGGTGACCAGCTGCTGCCGATGAAGTGTTGACAAGGCCTGCATGTTGAGATGCCCGAAACGACGATGCCAGAGGTACGAGGAGGTGGTGGTGGAGGCTGGACATGCAGTTGGCTTGATAGAAGGAGCAGCACTGCTCCCATGATGCAGTTGAAGATAAAACAGATTGTTGCGGGTGTAGCCCTCGCCAATAGGAACGTCATCAGATGTGAGAACAACGCGCCCAGCAGCGGGGAACGAGACGGCAACGCCGGCAGCACCAAGCGCACGAACAGAGAGCAGGTTGTGAACTGATGAAGGGAGAAATAGAACGTTGTCAAGCTGAATGGTGGTTTTCGATGTTGGTGACCGAAGAGTAGCCACCACCGTGCCGACTCCCAAGACCTTGTAAGTCTCTCCTCCACCAAAACGAACAAGGATCTCTTCGTTGGGCTTCTTGAGAGACGAAAACAGCGAACGATCCGAGCAGATATGGGAGGATGCGCCGCTGTCCACCAGCCACGACGAAGTCCGCTCCATATTGAATGAGGAGGCCGTGAATGCCGATGCGTAGGGAGCCCCATAAGGGAAGAGGAGGAGGAGAAGGAGGATGGTGAGAATGAAGACAGCAGCGACGAGAGGAGTCCATGTGGAGAAGATGGGGTGGTGGCTGGTGCTGACAGCAATGTCCACGTACCGGGAATCAGGTACGGACTGAGGGGTTGATGGGGCAGGAGGGGGTGTGGGGGTCGGAGTAGCTTCAGCAGAGGAGCTGGTGGAGACATGCACCGAGGGTTGGAAGACGGATTTCTCCCGTTTAGAGCTTTCTTCAAGCTCTTTCTTCTTCTTCAATTTGAAGCATTCATCGATGGTGTGACCCGTTTTCTTGCAGTAACGGCAGGTGGGCGACTGGCGTGAACCGGAGCGAAGAGGGTGGGAGGGCTGGGAATTGAGGTTGTATGCACCCTCCATGTTACGGCTTGTACCAGATTGTGACCGCTCCCAATCGGCATCGGGTAGGCGTGACTGTAGGTATTCAACCGTCATAGACTTTATGTCTTTCACGGTGCAAATGGTTTCAGTAAGGGTCTTGAACGAGTCCGGAAGGTTGAGGATGATGGAGATTACCACCACCCATGATGGTAGCTCAAAGCCGGCAGATTTGAGTTGGTGTGTAAGGTTTCCAACTCGATCAAAGTAGGAGCGAAGACTTGTTGTTGGGTCCATCCGTGTAGTGATGAGATCCCGGAGGAGAGCCACTTGTGCATGGTTGCCCATGCAGTCGAACCGCGCCATGATGCATCCCCACATATCCTTTGTCGTGTTGGCTTGAGCAAGAGTGAGCGATAGTTGAGGATGGACGGCTGACATGAGAAGATAGTATGCATGCTCCTCTTTTTCTTCATCCGGCAGCGAAGCAATCGAATGGGCTGTCTTAGGGGCTGCACCGCTGTTGCCTTCGGTAGTCTCTCCACCGCTGGTTGTGGAAGAGGAGATTGAAGGACGCGAAGCAACCTTGGGATCTCCAAGGAGGGAGATCAGCCCGAGGACATTGAAGATGTAGCAAATCTTTTTCTTCCATGGAATGAAGTTGGAACCATCTGGTTCCAAGATGGGAAGGGTGTGCCGACCGAGAGGCGTTTCAACTTGAGCCATGAAGTGTGCAACGTTCACTAAGCTAGAAGCCTTGCTCTGATAGCATGTAGAATGAGGATCGGTGAACTTGAGGCACAATGAGAGAAGAACAATATATCCTTAGTAGGAAGATGGTACAAGCCTGAAAGGCTAGAGCAATGTCCTTTCCAAGGATGAGTTCTAGAGAAGTGGGAAGCCACATCTATGTGGCTGAACTCTTGAGGCTAGCTGCAGCACCTCAAAGCTGAGGGCAGGGCTAGCCAACCTTGCCAAGCTAGCAATTGAGGCCACATGTTGCACATGTGGGCCAGGCTGGAACAACAGCCTACATGGCAGCATGTGGCACACCATAGGAGCCAACAAGGTGAGTATGGGATGGGTGGACAGATGGCAATGCCAACTGTGACCACACTTCACTGTGGGTGAGTGTGGTGGAGTGTGGGAGTGTCATGTTCGGCATAATGAGAAGAGAAGGTGCTGCCGATGAGAGTTGAACCCGCGACCACTAAGACCAAAGGTACCCACTGGGACATTCTTGCTTCCACAACATAGCCCACACAGAAACGGGTTTGCATGAACTCTAGCCCAGGGGTGTACATGAACTGTAGCTCGCTGCCGGCTGGTAATTCAGGAACAGGCCCTGACAGGTTGTTGAATGCGACTGACCTGTTGGGGAGGGCGAGTAGAGGAGAGGAGAGGAGGGGAGTGGTAGTGGAGTAAGGGTGGGATGGCCAAGAGGAGTGATGAGATGAGATGGGATGCAAGTAAGGACAGAACTCACAGCCTTCTTTCTTAGGATGGCACATGGGATAGGACTCGGCAGGGGGGATTCGACATAGCAGTTGGTGGACTTACAAAATCCAGAGCGTGGGCACCAGGCTCGGCGCACCAGGTTCGGCACACCAGGCTTGGCAAACCAGGCTCGGCAAGCCAGGCTCGGCACACAAGGCTCGGCGCACCGCACTTACAGAATCCGGAGCGTGGGCATTTCCACCAGACAGGGAGGAATGGTCCCTTGCAGCTGATTGGCCGACAGATCCAGGTCAGCAACCATGTGCATGTCACAGATTGGGTCGGGGATGACCCCCAAGAAGAGGTTGTGTGAGAGGTGGAGGGTGGTGAGGGCTGAGAGGGAGGAGAGGAGGGGAGGGAGTGGGCCCGAGAGGAGGTTGTGGGAGAGGTGGAGGGAGGAGAGGAGGGGGAGGAGGGTGAGGGAGGGAGGGAGGGATCCAGAGAGAGAGCAGTAATGTAGGGACCTGATGATGTGGGGAGGATGTGTGAGAGGAGGTAGATGGAGGGGAGACGAACAAAATTTTATGTGAGTCAACTCATCGACTCATAAGGCAAGAGCCGTAGGGAAGGCAATTCTAGAGGGACCTGATCGGGGGAACCAGTCGGGAAAGCGGAAGGGAGGGACAATGTTCATCGTGGAGTAGAGAGGGACAATGCTCAAAAAGCGGAAGGGAGAGATTGTGTGTTTTGAGTCGACTCAAAACACACAGGGACACACAAAAGACAGTTCACACGCATACAGAGAGAGAGGGAGCATGCAAGTCAAATATGAGGTCGGGTGAGAAACAAGAAGAGAGAGAGGGGGAACGAACAGTGTCTGGAGTGTGGTCAAGACCGCCAGAGACCCCGGTAGAGACCCGTTGATCCCGGTGTTAAGGCTCACATCACTGGTTTGGTGGAATAGGTGGGTGGGGAAGAGAGGGCGATAACAAGAGACATGAGATGAGATCAAATGAACGCTCGGGTGTAAATTCAGAATCTAATGAGAATACGTATTCCCGAAATTACTCGTTGATCCCAGTGCTATGACTCTCATTACTGGTAGGGTGGACGTCAGAGTGAGAAGTCTCACGAGTGAGCACTGTGAGTGTACAAGATGGGCATAAAATGGGAGTGCGTACAGGTGAGCGAGGAGGGGCAGGTATTGAAGGGACTCTGGAATGGGGCCGTCTAGTCGGTTGTTGGAGAGAGTCCTGCCCAGGAGAAGTGGGGCAGGTAGAGATAAAAATCATGAGAAGTATAATAAAGGTGAAAGGTTGCATAAAATAAGTAAGCGGAACATAGCAGCACATACTAAGCACGGGTTTATACATGCACGCATCATGGGTGCATGCATATGGACATCAAACAAAGCAGTAACGCGTGGTGAAACTCAGTTCGACGCGGTGCGTTCCCTGGATTAAGGCACCCCCCTGGATAAAGGCGCGCCCCTGGATTAAGGTTCACCCCCGGATGAAGGTTCACCCCCAGATGAAGGTTCACCCCCGGATGAAGGTTCACCCCCGGATGAAGGTTCACCCCCGGTTGAAGGTTCACCCCCAGATGAAGGTTCACCCCCGGATGAAGGTTAACAACCGGATGAAGGTTCACCCCCGGATTAAGGTTCACCCCCGGATGAAGGTTAACAACCGGATGAAGGTTCACCCCCGGATTAAGGTTCACCCCCGGATGAAGGTTAACAACCGGATGAAGGTTCACCCCCGGATTAAGGTTCACCCCCGGATGAAGGTTCGCCCCCGGATTAAGGTTTGCCCCCGGATTAAGATTCGCCCCCGGATGAAGGTTCGCCCCCGGATGAAGGTTCGCCCCCGGATTAAGGTTCACCCCCGGATTAAGGTTCGCCCCCGGATTAAGGTACGCCCCCGGATTAAGGTTCACCCCCGATTAAGGTTCGCCCCCGGATTAAGGTTCGCCCCCGGATTAAGGTTCGCCCCCGGATCAAGGTTCGCCCCCGGATCAAGGTTCGCTCCTGGATTAAGGTTCGCTCTCCGATTAAGGTTCGCCTCCCGATTAAGGTTCGCCCCCGGATTAAGGTCCACCCCTGGATTTAAGTTCACCCCTGGATTAAGGCGTGCCCCTGAATTAGGGCGCGCCTCTGGAGTAAGGCGGCTGTGGTACACACGCAGCACGTGGAATGCATCTAATCAAAATGCAGAATTTCATAGTGGTACAAGCAGATGTTGTGCGGTGGAATGCGGTGCACTGAGAGACTCACAAGTTACGAAGAAGAGGCAGCTTGCCGAGTGACGGTGTGATTGGTCCAGAAAGGAGATTGCTGCCCAGAGACCTGTAACCAGGCAGATATTGGGCAGTAAACATTTTTGAGGCGCCTCAAAAGGCGCCTGAAAAGTCGTCTCATGTTTTGAGGCGCCTCAAGAAAACCCAGAAAGGAGATTTCTGTCAAGAGATCTGGATCCAAGCGGATTTTGTGCAGTAAGCATCGAAGCAAACAAGCAAACAAGCAATCCGGCAGACAGGCAGACAGATGAGGAGGAGTCAGCATGCAGAAGCATTAAGAGTAATGTGACACAAGCGAGAGCAGGTGAGGTAAAGGGGCATTACAAGAGAGTGAGTGTGGTGGCCTGCCCAATCTCTTGAGGTATGGATCCTGAGAGTTGGTTGCTCTGAAGTTCACTGGAGGTGGGGGATGGGAGCAGCATCACGGGGAGCAAGGGAGAGTTGGAGCAGCAGCAGGATAGACACTTGGGTTTTCGAGGCGCCTCAAAATAGTTGGAGGCTTTTGGGACGCCTCAAGAGTCAAAAGGTTTTTGAGGCGCCTCAGAGAGTTGGAGCAGCAGCAGCAGGATAGACACTTGGGTTTGGGTGGTGGCTTGCCCGTCCCGATTTCTTGCAGTATGGAGTCAGACAGACAGTTGGTTCGACTGGAGCTGGAGGTCATTGAAGATAGAAGACCCACCTATCTTCATTCATGAGAAGCACGTGTGCGTTGGAGCAGCAGCATTGGAAATGTTGTTGAAAAAGGCAATGCTTGCTCACTCACAGTGCTTGCTCACTCACAGTGCTTGCTCACTCACAGCGCCTGCAGGCTCTTCATTGATCCGATGGATGCTGGGATGATGCCGGTGAGAGAGTTGAAGGCGAGACTCCTGTGATTGTTTAGCACACAGGAAAGGGGAGTATGTGAATTGAATCTTCTGAGTGGGCAATGGTATGGATTGAAGTCTGGAGGCTTTGTTGAGTTGAGAATCATGTTAGTAAAATAGTAATAAGAATATTCTTTTTGCATACATACTTCATGCAAATGTTTCCTCAAGCCTCATCCGCACCCAGCCACCCATGCAGCCAAACGCGTCACTCACTGATGCTCGATCGTCATTCATGTTCTCACTCACCTCATTGCACCCATCCATCCCCACACCGCACCTATGCATGTGCTTCACTCACAGGCGTGTGGCAGCGTTGCATCCGTGAATGCTCTGGGGGATGCTACCTATCAGTCTGTTCCGACTCAGGTCCCTGTAGCAGTAAGGCGGATGGCATGAATGCATGGTAGCACGTACATGAACACATGCATGGCACGGGCAGCACATGATGTACGCATGGAGGCACATGCATGCATGGTGGCGTGGCACATGAATGAAATGAGCGCCACACATGAATCATCATGGATAAGATACAGTCGATGCCATGCACATGATTTGAATTTGAAGGATGTGACATGCCCCTCCCCTCTCGTAGTAAGTCGATTCATTAGTCGACTAACATCGACTTATTTGAGGGATGTGACATGCCCCTCCCCTCTCACATTGTTCGTAACGCCTGAAAGCCGCCTATGCTCTCAGGTAGAGGTTTCTCCAGGTGGTTGTCATTCAGGTGCCTGCAACAGAGGCCAATTGCAACAGAGGCCAGACGCGGCAGCAGGAGCAATGGGGGGCGAACCAATGCATGCTGATAAAAACAAGATTTGAGACGACTTTAACAATGCCTCAATGAAGAAAAAGCACTGCACTGCATCACACCGCACCGCACCACATTACACTGCACCGCATTGCACTCCTTACAGCTCGACGAGGTTGAGGAAAGAAAGACCGAGCCACGAGGGGAATTCGCCTGTGAGGTTGTTAAACGCCAGAGACCTGCAGAGAGATTCGGGGAGAGAAGGCAGAGAAGGAAGGGTGTGTTGGGGGGGGCTTGTTAATGTTGACATTACGGTCTGAACAAGCAATATAAATACTAAATGGAGAGCGGTGGGGAGAAGCGATCAGAGTGGGACAATGGCTGGGCTGATAGGCATGCGTGACAAGTTGGGTGTAGAAATAAGGCGTACAGATAAGTTAGGGAGGTTAGTGATGCCATTTCTGGGGGTATTTTACCCGTGAAACTGTTCTGCCCGAAATCACTGCAGAGGGAAACGATGTATAGGAGTGATAAGGAATAATTATGCGCATAACATGTGCTGTAGACATGCAGGCCCAAAGACATGCTCTGATTCAAGTGTGCCAATTCCGCATTGCACTACACCGCTTTGAACCACTCACATCCAGACTTCCCCAGCCTCTCAAAGCCAAACCACTTTTCATCACTCTCTACCGCTCTGAAGCACTCACCACACTGAACTACTCACAGGCTTTGTAGAGTGCAAAATCTCGACAGCTCCTTGCCTGGCAGACGCCCAATACGAGCCCACTCTTCTCCACTCTACTGCTCTGAACCACTCTACACCACACTGAACCACTCACAGGCTTTGAAGAGTGCGAAATCTCGACAGCTCCTTGCCCGGTAAGGGCCCTGTAAGCCCTTCCGCTGTGAAGTTCCTGTGGTTGGTGGCGGAGAGGGGGGCGGGGGGGAAGGGGGACGGGTAAGGGGGAACGGGAGAGGGAAGGGGTTGGAGGTGGAGTGGAGTGTGGAGGAGTTGTGAGTCGGCTTAAAGGTTCCGTGCCTGGAAGGGCCCTGTAAGCCCCTTCTCCCTGAAGTTTCTGTGGTTTTCATGGGGAAGTGCGTTCGGGGAGAGGGGAGAATGTTGAGGGAAGGGGGCGGAGAGGAGGGTGGGGAATGGAGGACTTTTGAGTCGACTCAGCACCTTCTCTGGGGATGGTCCCTTTGAGGCCCGGCTGTAAAGTTTCTACGTTTTTACCCTTTGATAGGTCTGAAAACGTTAGTTTGGTACGTAGACCTAACCAAAGAACACCGTCTTCCTACACCCAAAGAACACCCACTTACAGAATGTTGATCTAATTTGGACTGTTGCACGTGGCCTTGTCTCTCCACCACATCCTACTGCGTGCGTCCCCCGAGTCCCGATGAGGTGAGAGAGCGCCAGGGACATTTGCTAACAGAAAGAGCGGGTACTATGCCATACTCACAGTGTGATGATCTGACCCGCCTCGTTGCACGTGACTCTATCTCCCCATGCTCCACTGCACGGATCTCCCGTGTCACTGTAAGCGGAGAGGGCGCCTGGGGATGATTCTGCTAACACGCGCTTGAGTGAAACCAGCTCCCACACTGGGGATAGGCGGGAAGGGGGAAAGGAGATAGCGAGAGAGGGAAAAAAGCGGGTGGACGGGGGATGAGAGGCGCTGTAAGCGGAAAGGGCTCCTGGGGAGGACGCTGTTAGCACGCGCTTCAATGAAACCAGCTCCTACACTGGAAGTAAGGTGGAAGCAACAGAGCGAGAACACCGGAAAGCGGGGGAGCGGGGAGGGGTAGGTAAGCGGGGACGCCTTCGGTAGCACGAGTTTCAGTGACACTAGCTCCCACAGTGCGGGTATGGAAAGGGAATAAGCCGAACGTCATGCACGAAAGACGACCTAACTTGTAGCGACGTTGCGCATTAGATAGCTTCGACGACAGGGGCGACGATGACGACGACTTATAAGAATTCTCAAAAGCGACTCAGACGACCACGGCGGCGATGACGGCGAAGCTGACGGAAGCACTTACGCCCAGGACTAGCGGCTGTTGCGAGAATGGTGTGGTAACCAGCTGTTGTAACGGTCGCGAGGACTAGCGACCACCAGATGGCGATTTGGCGGTCCAGACGACTCGTTAGTGCGTGCTTCGATAATCCGCATCGTCTAGGCGCAACTGGCGGAACAAATGGACGCCTAAGATTACCCTTCGCTAACGTGGCCATCATCTGGCCGTACGATCGCGATGTTTCTGTCATTGCGACCTTGAGAGCCTCCCATCAATGCGGAGAGCCTGCATGATTGCTGTCCCCGATAACGCGATGCTTAGATGGCTCCGAAAAAAAGACTACATAGCTCTACAACTATATGACACTTAATAAGCTCTTAAAGCCTCGAGATTTCTGAGAAACTGATTTGATGGGTGGTGTTGGTGGTGGCGGCAACGAAACCGACTTTTGAGTTGTCAGACTGCATCCTTGCTATAAGTCGAATCGTAATTTGTACAGTACACTAATTAAACAGTTATCTGGCAACCCGTAACCAGCATTTCTGAAATATATTAAAACAACTCTGGATACAAGCCAAGGCGTGATGGCAAATCTACTGCTGCTCTAAGCTCCCTCTGCACCTTTCTCCTTTCAAAGAACACGGGGCAATCAAGAGATACACAAGCTACATCCAAACTCTCCAACCCTTGACAGTTGGACGAATTGTCTCCACCTTGGCTTGTCCCAGAGACAGCAGGAAATGCACCGCAGTCAAAGCAGACCTGCCCAAGATATTGCAACAAATAATTATGAGAATTCGAATCATGAGGGGTCAAAAAGAAGGGGAGGGGAAAGTAGAAACAAAAAAACACAAGCAAGCAAACAGACAAAAAAGGACACTTACCGCTGATAGATGGCGGAATTCTTTCTCCAGAAGGGCAGCTCTCATCGTCAGCACCAGCGCTGGCACCTGACCTAGTTCCCCTGCTTGACCTGCTTGACTTTCTTGACCCACAGCAGAAACACACACACTCTTAACACCACCAGCTCTGCCACCACCACCACCACGAGCCTCGCTGGAATCAGCCCCAAGCCCTCTACACGAGCTGCAGATTGGCACCGCACTGCACTCATTCGCATCCCCCGCCCTGCTGCTTGCCTCCTCTCTAGGCGCAGCCAGCCCAAGTGATTCCACCCCATCAAGCCCCATCGGGCCTTGCTGCTTGTCCCCTCGCTCTTCCCCCGTTTCCGCCATTTCCCCCCCAGTTTCTCTCACTCCTCCCCCTTCCCGTCTTCCTAATCCTCCTTCCCTTCCTCTTACTCCAGATTCTTCGATCCTGCATCCTCCGCCCCCTCCTCTCTCAACCCTACCTCCCGTCGCCCTCTCTCCCCTCAGTGCCCTCACCTCTCTCACCACCACTCGCCCACAAACCACACAATGCACACTCCCATAATACTGATCAATCCTGCCTTGCCCCCTGCCCCTTCCCCTGCCCCTCCCCCTCCATCTCCCCCTCCCCCTCCCAAGTATACCCCCCCTCCCCCTCCCCCGCCCCTGCCCCTGCCCTGGAAAAACACTCCCCCTAGTCCCCACCCCCTCCCCCTCCTGCCACGTCAGCAGGGGCTGCTTCCCCGGCCCGACCCGCTGCGACAGCGGCAGCTCAGCAAACCACGACGCGACACGTGTCCCCACCAGCGCAAACACCCGATGCAGCGCGGGAATCACCTTCCTCGTGATATAATACCCCACATTCAGCCGGAGACACTGCGAATCTACCACCACCCGAGGCTCCACCACCAAATCAACCAGTCTAGACCCAGGATCACCGCACACAATCACATATTGAACCCTCTCTTTGTATTTCGGCTCAGCACGTGGATCTCTCTGCATGGCTTTGGTGGCGACGATGGCAGCGGGGGGGAGCAGGGCGCGCGGGTTGGTGCTGTAGGTGCCCAGGCGAACCTCCTGTGCGAATATGAAGTCTTGGAGGGACACTCGGCCCTGCAGCATGCGTTGCCACTGCCTCATTAAGTACGAACGCACCTGGGATGGGAAGGAGTGGGGGGAGTGGGAGAGGGAAGGAATGGGCAGGGCGCGCGGGTTGGTGCTGTAGGTGCCCAGGCGAACCTCCTGTGCGAATATGAAGTCATGAAGGGACACCCTGCGTTGTAGCATGCACTGCCACTGCCGCACCAGGTATGATCGCACCTGGCAGGTAGAGAGGGGAGGGAGTGGTGGAGGGAAGAAAGAAGAGGAGGGAGAAAGAGCTCGAATGCACCTGGTGGATTGTCTGTTGGTGTAGCGTGAAATCTTACAAGACATTTTCAAATGCTTCAACACAACAAGCTCTCATTGGTGGAGAAAAAAAACCTTCACAGACTTTTTCAGCAGCGTGCTCACAGCAGGCCACCCTTTCCTTTTGTCAAATTAATACCCTCACCAAAACTGACCCGAGACAGATCATTGGTGGAGAATAAAATCTTGAGAGATTTTTCCAGTAGCTTGCTCACAGCAGGACACCCGTCCCGCCTGACCGTCTCGATCCCCTTGGCATCAAACACAGGGGGACACGTGGCAGCAGGGGATTCGTACGCGAGCCCCACGTATCGCTTCTTGGTCTGCAGCACACACGGGTGGTACACCTTCTCTAGCTTCAGAGCCACCGGGGCCGGGGAGAGAGCGGTTACCGCCGTAACGATTTCATTGCCGATTGTGAATGCCTGATCTCTGGTTCTGCCTTCCAAAAGAACAAACATGCTGCAGGGAGGGAGGGAGGCGGGTGAGAGGAGGGAGGAAAAGAAGGGGAATGGGGAAGACAAGAAGTGGGATACAAGGATAGGATGGTAACTGCTTCCTGTCGGTACATTCCTCCAGGAGAACAAACAGGCTTTTGGAGGACGGGAGTACGAACCAAGTGAGCATGAGAAGCAACAAAAGAGGCCAAGTGCCCGAAGCACCCACCTGTCAGTGTCACCATAGACCACCCGAGCGTTCCAAGATGGATGGCTGTTCACCAGAGCTATCGCCCTCTCCAGTGTTGTTCGCCCCGCCTGCACAGGAGAAGGCATGGCGAGAGCATGCGCAGAGGGAAAGGAGAGGCTGTTTGAGTGGTTTGCGCAGGCCTCATGACTGGTTCCAGACCAGAGGGGTGCGAGACTCGTTGACTTTTGAGAACTCCCAACAAAATGAGCAATTTTGTATAGCCACTTGTTAGCATTGGAATCATGCTCAAAATC